TCGCTTAAGTCGATCCACTAGCCTGCTCCCAGGGCACTTCACTAATAGACCCCCCCACGGCCTAGACTGTTGAATTCATAAAACGGTTGAGCCCGCCGCATGCGACTAGCACACTCGACTCGTGCGCGCGCGCATACCAGCCCTGAGGAAAGACCACGACATTGGATTCGGTTGGTCGAAACGTCGGCAACTCAGCCTTCGACGCGGCGTCACCCGGACAGCCCAGATCACCCACAAAATTATATTTGGTACATATATTCGCTAAGAATTATTGCATCCTGAATTGTATGATAAATGTAGTACGACATTCATGAATGCAAAAACGAAGTTGAAAAGTGATCACAAGGTAAAGAAAAGTTTTTTAAAGGATGATATTGTACAAAAACTTGAAAATAAAAATAAACTACTATAATCAATAACGAATTACTCGATCTAAAGCAAATTTAGATTAGAGATTTTGCACAGAACTTAAATTTTTGTAGCGAATGTAATCGTTTGTCATCTGGCAAGGTGTAAAATTATGTGCATGTATTGAATGTCAATTTTTTGTAGTGAGTTGTTGATACTGTCACCTAATGAATATGATAACGTCGACTGTTTTAGATATAGATATCAGCGATTGCTAAAAATATATTCCTGCCCTTAAGTCATTTTTGAAAAAAAGACCAACTCGAATATCAAGAGACAAGGTAATGGTAAAATACCTAGATTAATAAACAGAGGCTTACAAGGATCACGTGGGTGGGATTTGCTTATTCGGACAATTCTTTTTTGTAATCTAAAACTCTGGTAATAAAATGTATTTCCCCAGAATATGCCTCGGGCAGGAATGAACATTCCCGAAATATACACAACGAGCTCTATGAAGGCTGACTGACTGAACGAATTCTGAAAGCATAGCATAAAGAACTTAATTTAGTGTTCAATTCATTTAAATGGACGTTCCATTTAAGGTTTGACTGAATTGAAGGAACTAAAAATGTTGTTACCTTAACATCAGCCAGTGACACGTCCTTCATTTTCAATGGAGTACAGAACTGTTTATTTGAAATGTAAAACTGCATTGAAACGGTTTCCTTTTCATTCGCTATTGATTTGTTATTAGGGAACCAATTTGAAATATCTGATATTGTATTATTTACGGTTCAATTATTTCAAAGAATATTCGTATCATCCGCAAAGAGAACAGTTCTTCTGTTTCTAATCGTCGAGGGCGTATCGTTTACTTATGGTAGGAAGAGAAGAAGGCCTAAAATCGACCCGCGGGTCTCCACATGCAATTGGCAAAGAATCGGAAAGGTGTGTGAAGTCAGGTCTCTGTGCGGAAAAAAATGCGGCTTGAAAACACTTTCGCTAGTTTATTTAGTATAATATTGCGGTACATTTAGAAATAATGCGAGAATGTATGCGTTTTCTAGCACCACTAGTTCCTTAGTTTAGCGATGTGTAAAAACACGAATGTTACATACTGTCGATCTGGTAAATCAGGGAATTTGTTTTCTACGCTTACACTACGCTTAGACGTTACAATTTATTTGATGTCTCTTATTTAATATAATTTACTCTTCTGTAAAAGAGATGCAGAGATGAACAATGTCGAAATGAATTTTGTGAAACATTGTTTTTTTTATTAATGCTCATGTTATAAGTTTTGGCAATGTGAATTTAATACAGAATTTGTTGGGTGTATTTTCTTATTTGTTGGAAAAATTATTGAATGTATTTTATTTGTAGGTTGGGTCGATGTTAATCAACAGAGTGGCCAATGTTGATATTACATGGCACAAGGATGTAGGGGCAGCTTCTCGTATATCTCATGAATTTGACCTTACTTTAGATGACAGTGCTGTGTTACATGCCATTGAGCAGCTGAACTTCTTCCAGATGAAACGTAAGTTGAAATAAATGTTACTTTTCTTCGTATTTAATACCTATTTGTGACTTGTTTTCTGTTTTTTATTGTGAAACAATGACCACAGTGATTATAAAATACGCAAATAGCTGTGCTTGTTGATAATTTCTGCAAGGTAATTTGTAGTTCTCTTGAATTTTTTGTCAATGCATGGTACTATTATGTATTATGGTACTATTATGCATGGTACTATGTGTTTTATTTGAGCAAAAGGTTTCGTTCGCAGAATAATAATTAATTTCACTTGACCTGGTTGCTATTACACTAACGTGAGCGAAGTGGTTGAATTGTAGATTTGTTTTTTTAATATTTTATAGATTAGTTATTAATATTTTAACTACATCTTAAGTAATTGATATTTCGAAGTTAAATGTGACTCCATTGTGGGAGAGCGGAAGCAAAAGTTTTTGGAGATTTATAGAAGATATATCTCGTGATCGTTGTGTGATTTATAATATAAATATAAACTTTTATCACTTTAAAATTTTTTAGATTTAATGGTTCTCATATTAATTAGTAAAATGATATGTGTATTGTTGAATTTATAGAAATGTCGTGCTTCAGTAACTTTGTCTGTAATATAGTAGAAAAACAAAAAAATCTGGGAATTAGACACAATTCAAGAAATGAAGCTACCGAAAATGTTTCACAATTGGGAAAATTTGTTCATTTGCAGACATTTTTTTCAAATTTCTGAGTTTGATAAACAATATATTTATTTTAATACGCTAACGATTGATTACGGTTTTCACTATTTATATGAATTGAGGGAAACCTAACCCTTTAAGTGTGCTACTGGTGGATACGGAATTTCTCGTTGGTTTATCATCCAAAAGATGGAACACGAAAAAATAGAAGTTTGCAGATTAAGGCATGGAAAAAATGTATTATTGTTAATTATGAAATTATGCATCCTAAGCCCCTAAAAGGAGGTTTTCGTGGCGTTTAAGAAACAGGTTGGTTCCCTGGGGATGAAACGTTTGGGGTGACTGTTGGGAAAATAACGAAGGGGGCGGGTAGAGGATTGGTGGAAGACATTTAAGAAAATGAAGGGGACAGGCGGGACCAGAATTGTGTGTCTTACGCAATATGATACAAATTGATATCTTTCTGAACTTTCTTTTACATTTCAGAGGTTTATTTCTTTTGGACGCACCCACACCTTTGTATTGATCAGAAAAGTGCAGAATCTCGAAACGCTTGTAGAATAAAATTGAAGGAATATGAATCAAAATTAAATATTTGATTATTTGTACAATTTAATCACAATGATTAGCAAAATGGTTTCTCTTGCACAGCACCGAAACTAGAATGCTTTACCGTACAATTTAGGGACTGACCGGGTTCGACGGTGAGTTTCACTATGATGTCACAGATCACTCTCATGCGTGAACTGGAACTCTGTGCCTTTGCGTACAGGCTGCTCTCTATCTATCTCTTCTTTACTTATCTCCGCTTTACACTCGGTTCGCTTGGCTGTGATAGGGCGACTCGTAACTCACCGAAAGAAACAGATGAATTCATGAAATTTGCGGATTGAATTTTCCGGCCCCCACGATTAATTCTGTTAAATAGATCGAAAGTAACGAGACACGAGAATATAAATTTGCGTCACACCGGAGTTCGCAAAAACAATCACTTCAAATTTCTGTCCAATCTCAATGAACGAAGGTAACTTTACAAGTGTCTTGATCGCGACAATAAAACATTTACAAGTCTTAAGTTTGGCGACCGATTCCACTGCTTGCTTCAGGGCGTCCACCTTCCGTTATCAATCACGTCTTTCTGCCTTCCCCGCTCACATCTATCCGCCTTCGCCTACATCTGTCTTAATGCTCTGCCTTCGTTTCTCGTAATGATGTTCCGGCGGGCCCTCGGCTCGCTCTAGAAAAATTCCCCCCTCCCTTCGAAACTCTAGGCTCCTAGATTCATCCCTTCCCTGAATTGGTAGCTGTCTTGTTAGATAAAGCTTTCTACGTCGCTCGCAATTCCCCACCAATCGCTGGTCTAGTTTTCTTGGAATTTTGCTTCCCTGAGACTGACAAAAGTTGACTCTCAGCGTACGTGCGCAGCTGCGCGACTCCTCAGCGCCAGCGCCTTCAACTTCATCATCGCATTACTCAATGATCCGAGGACTTCCCTTCTTCTTCCGAGGCCCGTTCTGGAAACTGGGTGCGTCCGGGAAGAGGGTGGCTCGGGCGGGTGTAAAGAAACACGACCCAGAGGCGAGGCTTCCGCTTCGGCGGGTGCCGGGTGGCTGGCGCTCGTAAATATCAGGGAAGGGGCGAGGGGAAAAGGCCCCCGTGTGTCTCGGTTAATCGCAAGCAAATAGCTTTGTCCATCTTACGCAACGTTTCCTTTCACGTAAAATTAATCTGATTATAGCTCTGATAGACAATATACCGCCACTACATACATACATACACACACACACACACACACACACACACACAATTATCAAAAAGAAATATGTTTATTTTAACAATGATATATAATGCATTAGTTTGTATTCTATATTTTTTTAAAGACTTAGTATGCCTGTAACAATTATGTGCTTCAACTTGCGGGGCAATTACCCCAATCTCGATCAGTTTTTCTCCACTCCTCCTGATCTATGGAGCAAATATTGAGATGGCTCTTTGTTTTGCTTCGGACATGAATGTACAATTACAGTGCGCACATTTTGTTGAGCTCTCAGGTTTCTTGTAGTCACAGGAGTAGAGCTGGGGGTGTGATACTATTTTGTTTGCAAAGCAAAAAATATCAAAACTGCAGTTCGATTACCAATGATAATTATTCTGTAACTTGAGAGTAAAAATGTCTAGTTTTTGAAATGTTGCTCATCTCACGCTTTTTGTTTTTATATTCGTATTGTTTCTTTCTTTTATTTTATTTTCTTAAACTTTTAATCATCTTTCAACCATTTACAGTTAAAATGTTGGGAATGAATTCTGGAGTTTAGGAATACGTGCGCAGATGGTACTTCTCCCCGACATGTCACAAACAGTTTTTCTGTTTCGATTAAATCAAATCAATGAAGTTGCGATCTGGAAAACAGAAAAACAGCCAAAATATGGCGGTGAACGTTTTTCGAATATTTGTTTTTTAAAGTGTAGTGTGACAGTAAAATGTAGTTAATAGGTAGGTGAAGCGTAGTTGATTTGTAGTTAATCTTCATTGTTAAATTGATTTTGAACTTCAATTGTAACACTGCAAAACCGACGCTCTGCCGGGTCCGCTACTGTGCTTTAAAACCATATTACAGTGTGGCATCAGTAAAATGTGCCGTCGCTGACGCTGTAAACTGTTTTTAAAATAGTATCATGTGTTGAAAATTACTTTTATGTCCAGCTTTGTTCAAATATGTTCTTTCAGTATCATGCATTGGGCCCAATGAATCGTTGTAGCTGATAATAGGCGGCCTTACACCATCGTTATTAAACGATCGCCGGGCAGCGAGCCGCGCAGGTCTAAAGGGAAGTTCAGTTTGCGCGCAAGAGCGCGGTTCGGAACGCTGCGAGCAAAAGCGTCGCTCGCATTTACACGTGCAGTTTTGTTGCGAGTGGACATATTGACCAGCCGGGCGGTATTTAATTAAAAGTTCTGTGTATACTAATAAAAATTCTAGAAATGAGGGGTACAGGAAGTCATCAGAATATTCTCCTTTAATTCCTTCAACAGCGGCATGTGATCATATTTTTGTCTGTAACGTTTTGCACAAAACAGTGCGTTTTTTCTTCTCCATTTCCTTTTGGTACAGTGTTGTGACACTAATTCCAAACACTGCTATTGTTTTCCTTTTACGATAATTGTGAACGGACAACATTTCTGATTAAGCTAATCGAAAAAATAGTAATCTGATTCACTATACACACCACATGATAACACGCGACACGATCAGAACATATATAACTGCTCCAACACAGAGTAGCAGCAGCAGTGAGGAGCGTGGAACGCACGAGGACCGTCGGATCTCTGAAATTCCACGCGCCGCACAAGAGCGCGCTCTAGGACGCTGCTGAGATCTTTAAACGGACGACTTTACTCGAAACGTTCTTGAGTGGCGTGCAGAAGCGAGGCAGAAATAAGAACCGCACTTCTGCGCCCCACGGCCCTGCCCACGCGCGTGCGCGCGCTCGAGTTCGTGGCCAGGAACGTCCCGGTCAGACGCCGCTAAGAATCCTCGCGTAAGGGGCCCTGATGTTATACTCCCGTTCAAAAGTTCCCAACACCCATTAGCACAGCCATGTCATTTTGTTACCTACGCACGGGATATGAATTCGTCTTATTGCAACTTCAAAATTATAATCGCCGTAACAAATACTTGCTCGTTGTACTAATAGTCGAACTTTAGAACAGTTACTTTTAAGCCTTTTTATGCTAATGTGCACAAACGCAGATCATTCCCTATTACCTCCGAAAATTCTGTCGCAACATCTTTTAGTACTACGTTTGATTCGTCCCCGGATTTCTTTAACACTTCTTTATTTTTTCTCCCCTAATTTTTGATGAGATTGAAACTTAACAAACTTATTTGTGCTCACTCCTACTTCTACAATTGCTCAGTTGTTTTGTATGCGTATCTAGCGATGCATGCAAAGCTGACATTAAAAGGCGACTGTTTTGTATGTTTATATGAATGTGTTAGTTAAGTTTAATAAACATAAGTTGTAGGTTACAATCATTTGAAAATCTGTATTTTCACACTTCTGTAAGAAGTAACAGTGAGATGTCGAACACCATTTATTCTTTAGCATTACTCACAGTTTTGTTTTCTCCGTATTCGCTTGAAATTCTTCAGGTTTAATAAGTTCTGAGGCAATACTGTTCGTAGGTTTTCGATTTTTTGTTAAATACGTTAATTCGAATCTAAATTCAAATCAATCTGCAGCGCCAGTTACTTGGTGATTTCACTTAAAGGTGTGAACATCTCTGATGCCAACGTCGTGGAAGAAAAGTATGGCGTATTTTGCTAAACA